TTTGCTTACACAAATCTCATATCAGACAGGCAGCTCTCCTCGTTTCATCAGTAGTGCAATCTCACTCTGATCAAGCGTGTAGTGGTTAGGTGAGCGTGTGACTAACGGCCAGTAGTAGAAACACAATTTAGGATGCCATTGCGATCGTATCGATTCTATTACGAATCATATCTCCCGGAACAATGTGGAGTTTCGGTAAATAAATTTTACAGATCCATAACGTTTATCGTTTAATACTGATATAACTATTAAAAAAATCCCGCTTTATGTGAGATATCGCAATATATTTTTATTTGAAAATTGAAAATTGAAAAATTTTTCAGTTGTTTTCGATAAACCAGCTTTACTCATCGTGAATTATTGTTAAAGCTTACAATACTATAACTAGGTAAACTTTTATATTAATAATGTTTAATAATTTTTAATTCTAAAGATTTTTATAAATCTTTCTATTTTGTGTTTTTTTCACACAAAAAATATACATCAAATTTGCATCAAACAATATGTTACTGATGAAGATTTGTGATTAATTCTTTCTTCATATAATAGATTTTTTATACCAATTGCTACAATTCTTCGCCGATCGTGCATTTTTCTAAATTTATACAAAAAATTTAATTTTCTAAGCAACAGAAAAAGAACTTTGTGTTCACTTCATTGGCATGCTGCAATATGGAGCCTCGTTCCTCTTAAAATAATCAATTCAATTACTGTAAAGTCGTTATTGCACAAGGGCTTGTTTTTATGCGTTCGATAGTTTATACCCGACCGTGCCCTTTATCGAGCTACTGTTTTTTCCCTTTCTCGCACATTTTCCCCAGCCCGACTTTCCCCGCAGCGGCATCTCTCCGCCCGGCGAGAACGATTTACTATCACTTAAGTTACTTTAACTAAAAGCCAGAGAAGAGAGCGAGTCGCTTCGATACAGCGCGGCTCGCGACGGACGTGAAGGTCAACTGGGTGAACTGGTTTTGATTCGATTAACTGTGACCGACGGTAACGAGTTCGCTAATTAGTGCGCTATTCGATTTTGTTCGTTTTTCAGAGATATCGTCGCAACGATTCGCTCGCGTAGCTTGTCCGACTATTTGTTGCATGTGTGATATCCAAACGATACAAACTAACTACATATTGCAATTAAATGGACCGACACTTTTTTTCACACCCAAACCGTGCGTATAGTTTTGAATATAAAAAGAAATTAATCAACTAAAGAATTGTCATCGGAAAAAATACTACATATATTTTTTTCAATAAAATTTCTTAGAAACAGATTTTGTTGACACATTTGAGAGATACAACTTCAATTTACATTTCATTTATTTTTTTTTTTTTGCCACAACAGCTTTATTTGAACACGAAGACAATATTGTGGCTTGCTACTGCGGATATTAAATAAAAGCGTAAAAGTAAAAAATAAATTGTAATTAAGAGTAAATTGTGGAAAGTTGTATTAGTCTACCAATATATAATTTCAATCTAGATTTTTTATTCACTTTCATGATTTGTCTTCCCTCGCTAAGCTTCTCCATGAGAAGTCTGCTTAGTCCCATGTTGAAACAACTGACATCAATCTTGTACTATGTCGAAATGGCGGCGTAAAATTTTCAAGCCGATCAATCACTATATTCTCTGATACCCTAATTTTCAGAGGATTAGGAGTTCCCGCGCTCGCCGATCCACTCTCTTGTTCACCACCTGTTTGAAGTTAATTAAATTTACCTTGTAGTGTATTTATAGGTAATTTATGGCGAATGAAATTCGATGTAGAAATTCACAATCCTGTTTGCAGGGATCAAATATGAAGAAGCGTTATATACGAGCGTTTTTGACGAGTAAAGTTCCTTATTTTTTCGTCGCGGAACTCTTAATTTTGTGATATTAATGTGGAAGTTGAAGAACTGTATTTTCGCGCTAAATCGCATATGAACAAATGAGTTTAATAGACGATAGAATACTTTTCGAATTGTAAAGCATCCGGCAGCTTTTAAAAAGCATCATGCAGGGGGAAACTGCGCGGAAAATCAACTCGCGTGAAAAATCTATGGAATTCGAACTCCACAAAGCGCATTCGACCAGATACTGTCACCCTATGGGAATTCTGTGGAATCGAATGGAATCGATCATGTCTGCCCTACCGAATAGCTGGTAACAGCGTGGTTAACGATGACGCACACTTGCATGCAGGCGATCTGAACGTTCTATTTGTCGTTTCCAAGATGAATTATGTAATCGCAGAAATCAGTCGGAATTGATAAATGAATCAATAAAATCGATTTCGTTATAAGTTTCAAAATAAAATTTAATACGCAAATTGATGCGTAAATAATGCAATATTATTATATAATATTAAACTTCTTGCGCGCAATTCCGAGAATTCCGCGAAGAAGGAGAAGAAACGATAATTGTTCTGACTTATTGTGTAACTGCGCAGACATCTGTCTCTTCATTTTGCGTCAACCGCGCTTTTTTCAGATCCCTTTTCAAGCAACACGAGCACAAAATACAACGCGTGGTGAAATTAAAAAGAGCAATTCCATTATTTTCTCGTTTAACGAGATTCCGCGGGGCGATGTAGTTTCTTTATGGCTTGTGAATTTGCGTCCTACTCTATCCGGGAAGCTTCATTTTTCCGTCAAAGCGTTTTGTATTTCTATCGCAAAAATGGCGTTATGTTACATTTACTGTATCGTGTGTCAACATATCTCGCGGGAATAGCTTACATTTAAGTCAATTTATCAGTATAACAGTTCCGTCTCTTTCGCATTCAGCATTCATGAAATGTACAACAATAACGTATTAATTTGGATAGAATATTTGATAAAGCCGGGTGTATAACTTGCTATTAAATAAGTTATATAAATTATGGAAACTAATAAGCATTTATGTATAAAAGAGCCCGAAAACAGTCCATTTTTATTATTAAATTATAACAAATACTACATGAAACATGATTATTAATGTGTGGTTCTTAAATATCGATTTAATCCTATTAAATATTCTATATCTCTTTTTTTTGTGACCAAATCAATTAATATTGAAAATAAAATATCATGAAAATAATATTGAAATATTTTTTTACTATTATATCAGAAATATAGGATAATATCTTACATTTTTTCATAATTCAATATTTTATTATTCTTTTCAAATATACAGATACTACTGCAAAATGTGATGACCATGTATATAAATGTTTTTGTCAAAACAGTATAATGTATTTTATTGCGATTTCTAGTCACGTCGGAAAAATTGCATTTCGATTTTTGTGCCGAGCATTGTTTGCCCACTCTCGGAATAAACGGTATTTATTTATACGCACGATTAGCTACTTGCATTAGGCGGTATTGTTTCACATATGATGTGCTCTAACGATTTATCACGAATGTGTGACGTGATAATAAATTATTATGTCAGTCCCGCACGGTGTATCATATTGTCTTCGTATAGACACAATTAATGATAACCCGCGTAATCCCACGGCTTCTTCACACATCTTTTCTTTACAAAATATAACAGAGAGATTGTAAATTTATAATGTAAAGTAAATTTCAAACGTATGTATATGATTTTCAATTTGCACAACCGATAAACTTGGAAATTTAATGTAGCGTGAGAATGCGAAATTCTTCGTATCATCAGGCTCTTTACGATAGAAACAATGGAATGTTCGCCTGGCATTCTTTCATAACTCTGCTTCGTTCCGGAAGTACCCTACTTGGGAAGCACGCGATTTTACAAAGGCACAAGTTCTATCTATCGTAACGCCTCATCTATCCTGTCTCCTTTTACATGTTTTGTAGGAATGCACGAACTCAAATACATTGTTCTTGATGGAAAATTAGAACACGGAGAATTAAGGATATCGCTCCAAATTTTTTCGATATCTTTTTCAATCATTATTATTAACGTTAATTTCCTTTTCGTTTGCAGCTACTTTGCTTATAGCTTGCTTATTTCTGTATAATTAATATTAATGCGATTAGTCGTACACAATCGCCATCGATTATTTGTAATTTTTCATTACGAATCATATATCATAGTTTCATCTTTTTTTTTGAAAGCACAAAAATATTACATTTAATAGTCGTATATATCGAATTCTATTAGTTATATAAAATTTCAGAGAGAGATTGTATCTGAAAAATATACATGGAAAAATGCTAATAAAACGAACAATAGATAAATGATGGATGAAAAGCTAAAAAATTCTCCATATTTCTATTTTTTATTGAACATGTCTCTTGCGATTTGTGACAACGTTGTGAATTTAATATAAACTTCAGTTGTTTAATTATTT